ACAATTTTGCTGCCAAAGATGCACTTTATTAACAAAGTGGCCCTCTGCCTTTCTTCACTCATTAACCCCCTGGTCCTCATTTGCATTTCATAAGAAGGTCGTCAATCTGTGGGAGGGTTATCTCCTTTTGGGAGCCAGGGAAAGATGAGAGGGGTGAACTGACGTTTTTTTTTTTTTTTTTTTTTTTTTTGTCAAAAAGATAACACCACTCATCTGCTTATCACTTCCTGATGCTCATGCATGTGGGTGACTGTGCTTATGAATATACACTGTATCCTCAAATCCATAAAAAGAAAAGTGGGATCTTGAGCCTGTGTGCAGGGCAAATGAAAGTGACAGATGCAGGTTCAGTCGATGCATCAAGTCAAACCTCTTGAGATGCTCCTTGCCGTCACCAGCACTCTGAACCCTTGACCCTGCGTCTTTGCATGCCCACTCAAAAGTTGGTTTCATTTTGCCCTTTCATCCATTAGCCAGTTTTAACTCAAGCTTCATCAACTGACCCTCCATTAGGCAAATTTGCATTTCATCACACTCAAATTCTGCTTTAATGCCACCAAACAGAGTGGAAAAGCAATGAGAAAAGACTGCAAAGAGGTATAAAAAGGTAGATAAGAGGAATGGGGATGGAAACGAAGGAAACACTCTGCTGGATAGCAATAAAATTTGCTCTTTTCCTAAACTGTAATTTGTGAATGTGCACGAATATGCGTGTGTGTGTGTGTGTGTGTGTGTGTGTGTGTGTGTGTGTGTGTGTTTGAATGGATCAGCCAGAGTGCTTTAGAGCTGACATCTATTTAAATGGCACGTTTTGAATAAGCTTTTAAATCTGCGCCTACAATGCTGACATGCATTACCCATTCTCAAGTGGCTAAAAAAGGACAGGCCCTTAAATATGAGAGGTGAAAATCTCAGAAATTGTACAACTCAGATGATTTCTGCTCATAGGTTGGCTGATCATGCTGACATAAGTGAGTTAATAATCCTTTCAAAAATATTGTTACTGAAAGAGTGCTACATAGTTTTACCTTCGCATAGAATAAATGATGAAAATTATAAATAATTTGTGAAACATACGTCACCCAACTCTATTATACTAAAATGAACTAGCTGACCATCCATATCTTTTTTTTTTTTTTTACATAAAATGCAGTTTAGAAAAATCAGAGATCCTTTGTATGTGTTTTTGGAACAAGATCTCTTGCTCCCTTCTGAAGACCTTTTTTTCTCTCTGCATTGTCTTTTATTGTACACCTGGACAGCTAACGTAGGAGGTAAATCAGCTCACCTTTTGCAGAAGCTGGGACCCAGAGTACTTTGCAGAGATGGACTTCATCTCCCCACCAAATGCAGAGGCCCAGAGCTTAACCCTACAGGTGTGCACACACGCAAGAAAGGTTCAGAAATAAAAATAAAAACCAAGATACTGCTGTGAAATATGAACAAAAGAAGCAGTGTCTTAAAAGCACAAGAAACTCCATTAGTTCCTCTCTTTGTCTCATATTGCAGCCTTCTCATAAAATGACACTTCGTACAATTTCTTGTTTTATTTTTATTTATTTTTTTTTTGTATTGATTATAGTTTAAATCCATGTAGCAAATAAACCAAATGAGGCAGCAGCTTTACAGAACTGCAATCCACATGAAACAAAGCAAAAAAACAACAACCCGGAATTAAGTATATTTTGGCAATGCTTTTAAAAGTGCAACAGACTACTTACACGGACGGGGGGATGCTCTGGTGGGTGCCTCCAACTCCAGTTGCCCCGATGTTTTGAGTTGAGAAAAGTAAGAGCAGCCACATAGACCAAACGCTGGAAGCCACACAGCACCGACCCACCTGCATCTTTGACACCGACACCCGCCTCCTGCGCGCACAATGCTAGTTTCTGTCTTTTCCTGCCACTCTCAAAGACTTCAGTAACGAGTAGAAATAAAAAAATAAATAAATAAATAAATAAAAAAAAAAGAGGGACACTGGAGTCACCTGTATTGACTGGCTGAATAATTCATGACAGTGGGGCAGCTTTATGAGCCGGTGCGGGACGCAGATAAGCGACGCGTCTTTGGCGAACGGCGGGGCTCCCGCTGAGTGACTTATCCACAGCGAAGTGACCGGCGAGGCTTCGCTGACCGGTGTGCCGCACACTGTTAGGATTCCAGACACTAAGTCGACCTCGACTCCTCCCGCAAAACGAGAGTCCTCTTAGTCGCTTTGATTTGCCCACCCCGGTTTCTGGAAAAGCTACTCTGGAGGTTCGGGATGAAGTGGAGGGAGAGAAACCGGGGAGAACATCAAACGATGCAGCGCACAAATGCACGCCTTCTCCTCTTGACTGATGGGACTAACCTCTCCTCCCTCACTTTCTCCCACCCTCACAAAACCCCACTTTCTCTCCGTCCTCTCAGAACCTCAGGATATGGGGCTGGTGACGGCTCCGGCATTGTTGAATTACGCCATACTTGGGATTGCCTGACTCATTCTGTCCCCCCCCCCCCCCAACCCCCCGCCTATCTCCATTTCCTCACTCTTGGTCTCTAATATTGCAATAATAGCTGTAGCCTGTAGCTTTCAGGTCAGATCAAGTCATGTACTGTATGGTCAGTTCACCGAAGCAGGAACTGCCTCTAAAGTGCAGGAATAATAGGAGGAGAGAAGCAGGAAAAAGTAACAGACAAAAAAAAAAAAAAAAAAAAAAAAAAAGTGGGGGTGTTTAGCTTCTTGGTGGAAGAAGAAGGGAAGGAGAAGATGATAAGTCAGTTCTGCTGCATTAAAGCATGCCAAATGCACTTTGCAGTAGTGATGTGGCACTGGTAGTATGTAGGCATATGGGTTGGGAAAGACGTTGAGAGCCCCCAGGCGACGGACCCTATGTGATGGATTGCATTTCACAAAGAAGCAGGGATTCTGACAAAGCACTGGGAGGGGATCAAGTTTGCCTCAGTAGCCCAGCATGTGGCTCTGTCTAATGCTTGGATATCCAAATGGACAAATGTGGCTCAAACATCTGCGTAAAACAGCTGGTGTACAGTGTTTCACAAAAGCATTCTTTGCCGTTGCTAAGTTTTTCTTTTCATTTTGTCACAGTACGGTAAAGAACTTAATTTCTGCGGATTTTTTATTGTTTTTATTTTTTTGTAGTAAAGCAACATGAAGTAGTGCACAAATGTGAAGATTGTACAAATAAAAATCTGAAAAGTGTGGCATGTCTTTTTGGTGTGTGCCAGTCATATCCCGTCTGGTTGTAGACTTCAGCTTGTGTTGTTGTTGTTCCCCTCCAGCCTATTTATTCTTTCAGTTCATTCAGTACTTGAGTTTTGGATTTGTTTTTCACTTAGTATATCTTCCCGATCCGGTTTACTCCTTTTTGTGATTTGCTCAGCCTTGTTCAGTTCAGTCTTATTTTAAATGTCCTATTTAGATCCTTGTGATAGTTATTTGCTTCAGTTTCACTTTCCTAGTTCCTCTGTTCTCCCTCGTCCCCTTTTGCCATTCTCTCTCTCTCTCTCTCTAATCTCATCTCTCAGCTGCAGCTCATTACTAATCAGCCACTGGTTCTCCATCCAGTAATCAACTCACCAGTATTTGAGTGCGTAAGCTCCTCATTGGCTGTCAGTCGGTGCTGGATTGCATACCTTCTGCTCTCCACTTTTTAACCTGTGCTCTTGCCTCATTAAACTTACTACCATCACCTCTCGACTGGGTGTCAGCATTTAGGTTGCCACCTTATGCCAAACATGATCTTCAAGAAGTGTTTTGTTCTCTCCAAACCTCAGAGGCTTTCAGAAATTTTATTAAGACAGGGCTTTACTATTTAGTCTGATTTACTGGAAGACTAAATTTGCCATATTTAATGTAGGAGATTAACTCAGTACCGTCAACTTTAACTGCTATAAAAGACATAGTAGCTGCAATTTTTATTAGGGTTTCTGTGTATCTGTAACAATTGCATTCAGAAAATACATCTCAATTTAGTTCTGTTTGCTTGTACTGCACCATTTCACAGCAAAAGTGACACATTAAATTTATATAGAGAAATGTTTTATGAGTCCGATTTTCATTCAGATTTGTATTAAATTGCATTCATTCTAACTTGATTCTACAGATTGCAATGCACTTAAGTACAGTCTTTTATTCAAACTGATAAAAAATGTGTTCTATCTTAGGAAACCCGTTTGATTACATCAAGTTACTGACTTTGCAGCAGTCTCTCCTCCTGAACCAGCATGTAGCAACAGTGGACAACTGATTGCAATGAGTTGATAACAAGCAGCAATCTGTCATACCGAGTGTTCATGCAGTGAGGCCCTGCACAAAACTTTAGGTAAGAATAAGAAAAGTCATTTTAAACAGACATTAGTCAACTGTAGGAGCCCAGTCTCACATCATTTCAATTTGCCCGACAGAGCCCTTATTTTCTGTTCTTCGTTTTCTAAAAGCTGTAATCACAGACAATTTTTGGTGAGCAGGCTGTACCAAAAACGCTGTTACCTATTGTGTTCCCAATATCATAGCAAACGGAAGAAAATAAAAAAAAAAATCAATCAATCAATCTAATCTCTACAATGATACCATTCTTTTATCAACTAGGTTTTATTGATTTCATCTTTGCTGTGTGGAAGGCATGGTAATGCAACAGGAAGATGTCATTATATTTTATTGAAAAAAAAAAAAAAGTCAATGCACAACAGCAGGTTTTTTTTCTTAACTTTGTAGACACTGTCAACCAATATCTCCAGCAGCTGCAGGGTGAGAACAACAAGGTCTGTTTGTCTGTCTGCCTCAACGTTTTGTAGCCACATTAATTAAGTTTACAGCATTGCACTTAAGGCTACATGATAATTATCAGTGCAGATTTAGTGAAAACAAATATTCAAACATGGAGAAAAAAGGGAAAAATCATTCTTTGAAAAAAGCAGAGGGATTTCTTTGGTGTCAATGTTTTCCTTCAGGCTTTCTTAAAAAACACCAAAGATGAATGAATTTGCCTCGAATAAAATCTCAAGAATCAGAAGAAACATCAGTGAATGGAATTGTGCTTAAGACCAATTATGAACCAGTTATTTCCATTTCTAACAGATAAGAATCAGGAGATTGGTCCATTTATGAAATGGAAATTAGTTGATGGACGAGAAGGACTCACAATGATACTGACCCATAACATGGAAGAACCATGCAATAAAGACGTGTTGGCTTTACTGCTTTGCTAAATGTTAAACTAACAGTATATATCTTCATATAAATCATTCAAGCTGCTGATACACATGTGAAAAAGGATCAGATTTAATTTCTACAAGTTAACTGCAAATTTTAAAAATTATTCACCAAATGTCTTGACCATAGACATTCTGTCTAAATGAACGACACAGATAGCCTACACTCAAGAAATGAGGACATGTCTGAAGTCGTTGGAAGCGTGGTGAATTTCTGACTAGTAAGAAGAAAAAACAACACTATATAAAACTGTGTGGATAGTGTGACTTATTATTGAGTCGGCTTGTCAATTTTGTTTTCAATCTTCAAAGAAACTCTGAAATGCCTCGAGCAGCTACCTGATTGCATAGAAAAATGCTTGATTGGATAGGTAGTTTCATTATGTGGAATAACAGGCAGCCAGTCGAGATGTAGTATTTGCATTGTTTTGCACAGCAGACTAAAAATCATACCTGTGTGTTGCATTGCATTCAGAGCATGCTACCGACCGATTTGCCCAGAGCATCCAATTTCATTTTACATTTTCTGGTGACTTCAATTAAAAATGAATAAATAAAATGTAACTTGCTGTTACAAGTCCTTTCTTCCTTCAATTATTCTTCGTCCTCTCTTTATTATTCTCCCTCCTCCTGTCCTCCGCCTTTTTCAGATGTACAATCTCCTTTTTATCTTTTTCCTCGGGTCTCATTGGCCAATTCTAAGCACACCTTATTAAAATGTATGTTTTTAATTTATTCTTCAAAAAGAAAATGTTTTCCTAAAGAACCAAGGCAATGCCCCATGTAACAGGAAATTACAGCACAAGGGAGCATAACTAGATAGGGTCTTCCTGTCAGCTTTCTTTGTTACAAATTGAATATGTTACCCTGAACCACCTGAAAAATAAACTGACCAAGCACTGCTAAAGAAACCTTTTTTATATACGTTTCTATATTGTGAAAATAAGACTCCACAGTCTTCAAGCAAATATCTTAAAAATGTTACATCTAAGCAAAAATAACTCTCTGTACAGCAACATAAAGTGCTTACATCCAACTAGGACTGTTTATTAGTCTGAGCTCCATAGACTTTGCTGTTTTGTTGATAACCAACTCATTTGCAATGATAACACGCCCAAGAGGCTAAAATGAGGCCATTCACTGCAGCTGTGTAGATACGGGATGAGGAGCTTGGAGGCTATGATTGGCTCTAATGTTATGTTCAATTAATAGGCAACTCACTAAGCTCTTATGTACATCAAAGTACTCCTGTTGGGATGAGTCAGTGATTGACACACCGGGATAATCCCAAGTAGGAAGTGCTGAGTCAGAGCATATTATCTATATTCATTATCTATATTTCAAAGGGGGGAATGCGGGTGTTATGTAACTGTGAACTTTCATGTCAACTTTTTTGAGCTTTATATCATGTTATAATGTTATTGCCTCTTCAAAAATATACCTGGAGTCTACATATGCTTGAAGAATCCTTAAATCTCTTGTGACAGCTTAAAATATTTGCTCTCGCTTAAAATGCTTGCTCTCACCTTTTCCACACAGCTCCACCTCGATGTTGCAGTCTCCCAGCTGATCTTCTGCCTCTCAGAGCACCTTTCCCCCTGCCTCACCACTCAGTTCCTTCAGACTAGCAGGAGCAGCAGCAGCAATTAGCAAACACCAGGTGGAACTGCTTATCTCCTGAGCTCATCATACAGATTACTTCTCAGTGCAATGCTCCTAAGAACAGTTGTAATTGGTTTAATGGAGGAGCATTGTTGTGATGACATGCTGAAGGAGGACTGTTAGAAAGAGCAGGAGCTTCTTAAAAACATAGAGACCAATTTCAAAGCGTCAAATTGCAAAGTCAAATTTCTTTACTTATATTTGATATATGCAACATTTTATAACAACTGAAGGTAACATAATTACTTGGCTGGGCTATAAAGTGGCACTATGTGACTGGAAGCTACATAATACTGCGCCTTTAATAGCAGCAATAGCAGCAAATGATGCAAGTTAAAAGTAGTACATGACAAAAGTGAGGAAAAGGTGGTAATTTTGTCTGCCATTGCTTGGCTTAAGCCTATATAGGAGCTAAAAACACAGAGCCATTTTTTTTTTCAAAACTATTCTTTTTTAATCAGGTTCAACCGAATGATAGTTAAGTTTATGTCTAATGTCGAAAAATATTTATAAAGATAAAAAGCACCTGACAATACAGCAGAAACTGACCAAACGCTTAATATGTTATGTTTGGAGTACTGAGCAATACATAACACACAGTTCACCAAAGATAAAAGCTTCCATATCAAAGTCTCCAGCTTGAATCTGAGGTCATAAAGTTAAGATTTAGATGGTGAGGTGGAGGAAGTCAAGAAAAATGTTTTCTGAGAGCAGAAGCTTGGAAACCTCACAAACTCCTAACCTAGAGGTGAGCAGCCCGTTGTGGTGAGCCCAGTCTGCTTTTAATTTGCCAC